TGATTGTAGCTTGACTATATGGCAGCAATTGCTGTCTCTTCTTGGGTAATATAGGGGGAGAAAGAGTCTCCCAAAGATAAAGGGGGGAATAAAAAGCAACAATACCACCACAGCAAAAAATAAGAAAAACAGAAAAAAAAAAACCCCACCAAAAAACAACAATAAGAAAAAACTAAATTGGATACTGTAGTCTGTAATCACAGAAAAGGTAGAGGCGAGAGAGAAGAAAAAGAAAGAAAAAAATTTGTAGCCTAATATGAGTATGATTTTAATATCCTCTTTTAGCTTCTTGCCTTCAAGGCCGCCTGATAAATTTTAAGATGCCATTGTTGGTTGTTATGCTGTGCCTCAGGATTTAACATTCGGCCTGTTTTGTTTTTAAATTCTCGTGCCCTCTCGACATTCCTGGTTCTGGCCTTTTCCCTATTAATAAATAGATCAGGACTGGCTGCTGAGCTGCCTGTTTCTGTGCGCATGCGTGCCAGAAGAACCCACCCATAGTGGGGGTGGGGAGTGTCCACTCACTCAGGCACCCTCTCTAGTCACCAGAATGGAGGTGCACAAATAGTGAGGGGCCAATGAACAGATTAAAAAAAAAAATCAGAACAAAGCAAATCCGACAAAGTATTTTGTCCACCTTTGCTCCGAGGTTCCCACGGCATTATTATTCACCATGGTGAATCTGCTTGCTCCTCTGCTTAGTCTTGTTGTTTGGTCTACAAGTTCCACTAGCTATAGGCCTTCAGACTTTTAAAATATTCCTAGATATGTGGTTCAGAGGTTTGGAGTGCTGCCCTGAGCCCGCTTCACCTGGTGTTCTGAGGTATTGTGACGGAAATCTTTCACTGCACCTCTACCCTATCCGCCATCAAGCCCTGCCTCCTCCATTTCTTTGACAACTTTCAATTGTCCTAGATTCATGTTTCATACATTCTATGTTCTGATTGTTAATGGATGTTTACAGCTGTTTCTCCTCATTTTGAGTTGTGCCCCATCAGCAAATGAAAGTTGTGAAGGCTTTACTCCTCAGAGCTGCTTTGAGGAGGCAGCTGTTTCCCAGTCTTATTTTGAGTGCCTTCCAACCTAAGGGGTTCATTTTCCAGCACTGTATCTGACAATACTCTGGTGCTATTTTTATCATGTTTTAATAGTCAATATTCTGGTGCTATCTGACAGTGTTTCACTGCTATTCTAAGGTTTTCAGTGACTAAATATTTGGAAGTAGTCCGTCTCTCCTTCTTCCTAGTCTGTCTTACTCTGTAAGTTCATTTGAAATGTCTCTACTGTGGTTGATCCTTCTTGTATTTAAAATACTGGTGGAAAGCTTACAAAATCAGCAACATGTAAGCTACCACAGTATGGTAAACTGACAGATGAGTGGTGGATACACACACACACACACACACACACACACACACACACACATATACAGTCCTGGTATGGTGCTGTGGGTAAATGCGCTGGACTGCAAAGTCAGTTTGAATTGCAAGGTGGGCAGTTCCAAGCTGTCCTTGGAAACTCTATACAGGGTTGCTATAAGTCAGAACCAACTCAATGGCACTTAACTATATATATATATACAGGTTTTCTATGAGTCAGAACTGACTCAA